AAAAGTTAAACTCTCACTTTATTTGGTAGATAATTTAGTGAGTCGTCTGTCTTCTAGCTCTTTGTAAAATGCATGTTAAAACTTATGAAGCTTGGCATTACCCTAAATGGTCACTCCTTTGGAGTTGAAACCCCTAGCAACTTCCCCAGGTGTCGGATCTGATTGATGCAGCAGACAGGTGTTTCTTTTCATCCTATATTCTTGCATCTTTCTGTCTCCTTCTGCCGTATAACACTCTTGATTTTTCTTGTTAGTTTTCTAGTTGTTGAAAAATTACCTCCTTCCTGATTCCTTCAGTTTAGACCAATTTGGAAATGGAAAAGTGTGTTAATTTTTAATAAATCTTTAAGACACACAGTACTGTATTTTTATTAACTGAGCCAGATGGCTCACAGTGAATTTTCTCTGACATAAGTAATCACAGAAATCAGTTTGGGACCCAAATCTGGTATGGAAAGTGGCATATATATTCTTTGGAAAAAATGCAATTCACATAAACATACAGATATTTTTAGAAGTAATATTTGTTGCTGTTTGGATTTAATTTCATCTTACTGTTAAGCTAAGTGCAAACTAATGACTTTCTTCTCTCTGTACCCTAAACTCAGGTATTAAAGGGTCCTTCTCAACAACCCCCAATTTTTTTTTTCTTTTTGCAGTTTGAAGGCTGTAAGAAGGCCTTTTCAAGACTTGAGAATCTCAAGATTCACTTGCGAAGCCACACAGGTGAGAAGCCGTACCTGTGCCAGCATCCAGGCTGCCAGAAGGCATTCAGCAACTCCAGCGACCGGGCCAAGCACCAGAGGACACATCTTGACACTGTAAGGATGGCAGGGGCTGGCCACCTTCCAGCTGGTGTGCCAGAGGGCCCCTCCATGGTAGGATGATACACGTTTGCTTTCTGGTCTGCAGATGACAGTGGCAGTGCCAAGCATGGTGGAACCCAGTGGAGAGCCCACAGGGGTTCTGTGCGGCTGCTTCCTTTTTTTGTAGTTGTATATGATCCTAAATGTTGTGACTTCCTAGTACCAGGGAGGTTAGTTAGTTACTTCTGTGTATAGAGCAGAAGCAGTTTAGGGGTGTCATGCAGTAGACATTGGTAGAAATTGGCCACCAGAGACCAGGTATTAATAACAAAATAGTAACATTAGTAACAAAATATCAGGATATACCAGTAGACAAGGGATGCAAACTCTGACAAAATGAAGTACACTGTTCATTTGTTGATGCTGGTTCTTTTCTTTCTTGACATAGAACTCTTCAGTCATGGCATTGAGCATGAATCTTGTCTTTTGCTTTAGAAACCATCTGTTGTTTTCACCTGCAAGCGACCTAAAAAGATACAATAGATCCTTCCCAATGTTCGGTTCAGTTTCATGCATCCTTTTCTGTGTTAACAGCCACAAATCCTGACATCAACCTTAGGAGAACAATTGAATTTTATCACACCCGTAACTCCCTTAATGCTGCTACGTTTTGCTCATTGCAGATGCCTTTTCTGTGTAACTTTTGTCTTTTATTTTCCCCATTATGTTGATAGCCCTCCTTTGCGTTCTCAGGCTTTGATGCCGTTTTCCTTACAGGAGGCCAGGTAGATGCTGTGTAATTTCACTTCACTTAACAAAGCTGCTGGGATAAATGTATTATACACATCACAGATCTCTTATCCCACGTTCTTGAAAATAATGTATTCATGACAGTACTTTCTCAGCGTTAACATTCTGATGTCTATTATTAAACTACACCAGAGTTTGAATTTTGAAAAGATACTGTTATTTCTACACACCTTCTCATACATATTTAAGATTTTTCTAATGTTGTAGTTGACATATTATTAGGTTTTATATTAGTCTCTATTAGTTATATTGATAGAAGTCATTTAGCCATATCTGTAGCATAACCTTTCTAAACAAATACACATGAATGTGATGGTTTTGCCTAGGGAAAATCTGAAACGTGGTTATCACAGTATGGGCACAGGATGGATCCTTTCTGCTCTAGCTGAATTTAATCCACTGACCAATAGAATATTAAATGAGTATATATGATGAGCATTGAAATTCCTAACAGAAAAAAAGAAAAGAAGAATAAATTATGTTAAAATGTCCCATTTTGTTGTATCTAAAATGGTGTTGGTCAAATCCAATAAATCTTTCAGTTTGTTCTCAAACCTTGTCATGGAAGAGTGAACATTCACGAGACAAGATTTTCTCAAGAAACTGGTCCAACTAGCAAGTTGTCTGTAGTTTCAGAGAACTACTCTGGGAAAGGTGCTATGATCTACAGTAACCTTCTCTGCTTGGTGCTAATTTTGGCTAATCAAAGAACATTTCCAAAAACAATTTCAGAATTTGAAAATGTATATCCCTTTTTAAAACTTTTTAGTAAAACTTCCTAAGGTAATAATTTTTTATGATCTTAATTAACTGTAATATCTCTTAAAACTCAGTTATTTTTACTTTGTTGAAAAAGATTTTTCTATTACATCTTTTAAAACTATCATTTTCCCCTTAAGATCCAAACTGGCTCCTATTTAAATATTTACTACCTTTAACCATTCAGAACACTTTTAAAAGCTCATATAGAAATTAAACACTTTCTTTCCAAAGCAAACCATAGCTGTTTCAAGAATTTATCATTTAAAATTAGGTTACTTTTCATTAATCATTCCTTATGAAAATCCTGACAGAATTTGGATAAAGTATCTTTCTTCAACTAAATATTTTTTACTCCTAGGGAAATTAGTTTTCCCACAAATATTAATGAGTTAATTAAACTAACCCTGAAAATTTGTATTAATACATTTTCTTTCACTATCTTAAATCTAACAAGGGAAGTAATTACTCGGGACAGCTGGAAAATAATGAAATGCCTGCTTTGATGGAGTGTAACATGCCATTTAAAGCTTGGGCAATGAGCGCTAAAATGAAGAGGACAGCAGCACCGCCCAGACCAGTCCCTGACAGAACTATTTTGGCATCGTGGTCCCAGGTGGCAGACGGCAAGGCCAGTTGGGAGGAGTGGTGTGATTTCAAGCTTTCTCCAAGAATATCTCAAAATCAAATACAAAATGGCACTACAGCCCAAATTATAGCGGCCTGGATTTCTGTAGCACATTATGCTCATAAAACCTTTCTCCATGAACCATGCTCTCATGCTCAAAGACATGAGTGTATTTGTTCCTGTTGGGGCTTCCGGTAAGGTCTCGGCTAGTTGCCTCTAATGTGAAGTTTGTACAAAGTAGAAAAGGCTAGTTCAAGAGAGACCTGTGATCCCAGAAAAGATTGCCAGGTTAAAGAAAAATCTTTGTTCACCCTGTGGAGACTCATTAGCAAGTGACTTTAGCCAGTACTTGCTCACCTTTTCAGAAGGACTGAGGCAAGAGCCCCCATTTATCCATTGTTATTACTAGAGTTTCCTAAAATGTTACCCAGTGCCCAGCACGTTCTGGACATCTACTGCTGGGTGATTCAATTAATCCACCAGTCAGTCAAGATCAGTCAGTGAGCAGCCATGTCAGATATGAAAGTTACAATTCAAATTGGGTGTGACAAAATTAAATGGTATATTCATGATTTTATCTTGTTTTCAGAATAAAAAAATGGCAAAACATAGTGAATCCTGAACATTGCTTTCAGCAAGGCAAATATGTAGTTCACATGTATGCTAGCCCAGAAAATGATAAGCAATCATCTGAAAATTGGAGCACAACATAACCAGAATAGCAAGACATGCAATTGCCAGTGCAGCCTTCCAGAGCAAGAGCCCTACTGCAGAGAGCTTTCAGTTCTCCTGCTCCTTGTACTTCATCACGTAGGCCCAGCTCTCCTGTGTTATCTTATGAGGCACACAGTAGTTCCATGACAGTTTAAACGTCTTGTGAGTTTTTTAAGGACTTAGAATAGGCAGAAGATTTTGGTTTATCTTGCACCTAAAGCCATAGTCTCAAAGCCCTTGATAAGATTTTTGTCAGCAGTAGGTGATGATGCTGACACCTGAATGGATCTGAGGTACTGTTACCCTCAGTTCATCCACGCATTTCTAACTCAGGTACCAGGCACTGGGGACATACTTCACATCTCTGTATTCTTCACATCTCTCTGGAGCCCAGAGAATTAGAATAAGCAAATTTGCATCAACCAAGGGCTCATTCGTGTCACTCAAGCTCAACTCCTCTGCAACTCATAGTATTAATGTTCCTCTGGCTGAATTTTCATGTGTCTGTTGTTTGAAAGCTACTGTTTCTTGCTCACTTTATACTAATTTTTTCCTTCTTAATTCTTTCCCTCTTTCTTTCTGAATCAGGTTCCCTCTGAAACATACCCAGTCTTTTCTGGACTTTTCTACAGCTTCTTTACCTGAACTCTTAAAGAATATGTGTTTACTAGTTTCTGACAGTACCAAAGATTGTTCTCAGGGGAACATAATTGTAAGTATGTAAGTTTAATTTCCACATTAAAAAGTTCCACAAGAGATTTATGGTTACACTGAAAACTAAGGTAATCTCTTAAAATTCAAGGCTAGGGCGTCTCTGTGGGTTTTGTTTGTTTATTTTTTCATGTTTACTCTTCTTTTTATCATGATGCAGAATTCTGGGTGTTCTGATTGAAATGTATGAGTGTTACCCAGCCCCTGACATTGCTAATAGTCTATGTGCTGAATAGTCTGAATACAGCCTTGACCCCATTACCTTTATGATTTAACCACAGCAGTTTCTTTCTTTCTTTCCTCTGTAGAAACCTTATGCTTGTCAAATTCCAGGATGTACAAAACGCTACACAGACCCAAGTTCCCTAAGAAAGCACGTGAAGGCACATTCTTCCAAAGAACAGCAAGCAAGGAAAAAGGTAAATTTAAGAGAGAATGTTCCAGCAAGGCAGAGCACAACGCCTTACTCTTGCCGTACTCAGCTTCTGCAGGGTGATGGGAACTCTTAGACTTTATATGATATGCCACACTTTAGACCAAGGAGGGAAATCTTCCCTGAGGTCTTAGCAAGGCTGTAGTTGGCACAGCTGATATAGCTAGGTAAGAATTTCTGGAGAAGGTTTGTATGTGGTAATCAGAGAGAATTCTTGAAAGTTACCCAAACCTGGAAGTATTACTAACAAAAAGCTTTTATGGAGATCTTCAGAGACCTTTTCTAGGGAGAAATGCTTTTCCATAACGTATCAACTAGCTAAAATAATTTCCACTATAATGAAGAAGATGGTAGGCGAATCTTTAGGCTATGGAGAGAGCATGGTTGGCTTGGAGAGAGTTGGTAAGCTCTTGATAGGCACTGTATATGAAAATACGAAGAAAAGAATCCAACTTAAAATGATTTTGACACTAGTGAGGAATTAATGCAGTTTTCAAAATCTTAAAAAATTAGTGTTAAGCCAGGCATGGTGGCGCATGACACCTTTAATCCCTGCACTTGAGAGGCAGAGGCAGGCAGAGATCTCTGTGAGTTCAAGGTCAGCCTGCTCTACATAGTGAGTTCCAGGCCAGGAGCATAGTGATATCAAAAACACCAAAGCCCCACCAAGAAAAATGAAGGAATTAAAAAGTGACTGACAGTGGAGGTGCAAAACCCTAAGCAAAGTTCCACTGCTTCAGAATAACCATTCTGTTTAATGTAAAAAAAAAAAAAAGACAGTGACTCAGATTTGGAGTAAGTATCAAGAGCCATGCCGCCAGCCCATCTGATTTGCTCTGCTAAACTCACACAGTGCAGCAATTGGCTGGCCAGACTGGACTTTCAAACCTTGTGAGGAATTTCATTAGAACTGTGTCTTTGTTGGGGTGAGGTAGGTGGATGTGGGGTGCACGTGGATGTCTATACATGTTCTTGTGTGGATGGGAGGCCCACTTGGGGTATCATTCCTCGGGAACTGTCCATTTCGTTTCTGTCCCCCTTCAGCACTGGGTTTACTTGCACATGCTATACCATGCATGACTTTATACTCAGGTGCTGAGGATCAAACTCAGTTCCTCCTACTTGCAGAGCAAGCACTTTACCAACTGAGCTTTCATTCTAGCCCCCAAGTTTTAAAATTTTTGAGTGAACTAGGCTCTTCTGTTCATGGCAGAAACATGCTGCATTACCATGGCTAGTTAGTGTTGAATTTGTGTATTGAACTAGGTACCTGATTCATTTAAGGGCCCTTTATAACAAATTTGAGGACCGATTAAGACTTGATTTATTTCAAGTGAGTGAATGGTAGAGCAAGGGTTTTCAGGTCACTGTGGCTTCTAGTTAAAATTCTGCATTCTTTCATGGTTTATAGGGATTTACTATTTGATGCTGGGAAATGTTCTGTAGTCTTTCTTTGTCACTTGAATTTTTCTGTCTTGAGAAGTATTAGCACAGTGCCAGTCAAGGCTTATACATGGAAAGAACTTGGTCAACTCTTCCTTTTAGTAAAGAAAAATACTCAGCTACAAGGATTTGATAGCTGTACTTAACTACATACCAAATTTGAAAATCAATTGTTGAAGTCATTAAATTTTTTTTTCTCTAGAAGTATATTTAAATGTTTTTCATGGAAATCCCAGTAAACTGATACCAGGATCACTTAACATGGGTTGGTTATTTTCTTGAATTTGGAAAAAGCAAAAGAACAGCTAATGCAAATGGGATGCAATAAACGATGTTTTATCTTGAAATTACACGTCATGGGTGTGTACTGTCGAGTCCTTTCAGTAGAGCGGGACTGCTGCGTAATGGTTTTGTCATTGTGTGTATCTTATAAATTTGAATAATAAATTATTTTGAGGAAGCTTAGTCTTTCTAGAAGAGACATTTTTTCATTCTAATGTTGTTCAGCCTCTACCTCCCTATGGAGACAAATAAGCAACTAAAACTGCTGGATTTAAGAAGCTAACCTAGGTTTGCAGGTACGGAAACGCATGGGATGTTTTCAGAGTCTGTCAGTGGCTCTTATTTTTAAACATGGTGTGCTTTGGCCTCTTAGAAAGGAAGAGTAGTTTTGATTGTAAGAATGTTCTCTACTGAGAAAGAAAAGCTGACCTTGAGAATAGAAAATAATTTTATTGACACTTTACCTGCAACCTGCAGCAGGCAATCTAGATAACAAAGGTACTACTTTCAAGTAATCTGGTAGCCTCATGTCTTTCTTAATTCTGTCTTATGTACATAATGAGGTGTTCTTTCTCTTAGGGCTGTACTTTTGGGTTCACTCTGTTTTGTGCAAATGGTTGAATCTCATTTGGTTGACTTTTCTTGCTCTGCCTGCAGTGGCAAATATTCAGTACTTATTTTCCAAAATGGAACCAGCCTTTTTATTTAGAAAATCCTTTCTAAATCTGTAATGGTTAATTCATGAAAATTAAAATGAAGAAAGTTACTTCATCCAAGAAAAGGGGAAATGTCCCAGTAAAAAGCCGTTGCTGATAAATCTGAAATTGGTCTATCCACTCTGCTAAATCTCATGCTGATATTCAAGTGTGCTATATTTACATGGTACAATGTTGTCACTAGACCTTGGAGAGATTCTAATTGCTCACTCACATTAGGACATGGTATTTGAAATATTTCCTGGCAGCAATCATAAAAAAAGAAAGAAACAATAAACCTTTTAAGGCAGAATTAAGATTATTTACGACTTTAATTAAAAATTGAAAACTGGCATGATTTCAAAAGAGGCTTTACAAAAATGTGAATTCATCAAAAATAACCATAAAAATTCCAAGGTGATAAAGGCACAGTGGAGGAATGGTCCCAGCTCTGGGGAATTGTTTTGTTGAAAAGAATAAAACTCTTTTCTGTCACACCCTGTTAGTCATGGGCTCGTTTAATATACCCTGCCTGCCCGCCTACTTCTAATCCTCTTCTTAACCTCCCCCTAGACACTAAGTGACATTATTTTGGTCTTAATGTTGCCAGCTTTATGAGGCCCTACTTCGAAATTGGGGCCAGTGACAAAGCACCCATAACCAAAAGATGAATGTCTATCAGCAGAGGCAGATTTCTCCTGAGTGCTGCCCTTTCTGTGGGAACATGGCCCTTCCTGACACCCAGAAGAGCCTACTGGAAAATTAGATGAATCTGAAATCTCAGCTGAACATTATTAAAGCCATACAAAGAAAGGAAAAGAGAAATAAAAAGAGTCCATAAGGAATGAGGATGATTTGGCTCACTGCATACACACAGTAATTTTTCTGTTTGCATAAATCATGCACATGCACACATCCCGTGGGCCAACAAACATCCAGACTTGTCCATCGAATGTGCATTACACTTCTTGAATTCACTGAAGCAGGGCCACTCAGATAAGTGAGTAGTAAAAATCCTCGAGCCACCAGTTAAGGTCTCCACTGAGAACAGAACTTGTCTCCAGAGCAACAGGCCAGATTCTGTCCTTCAGTTCCTTCTAATGAGTGAGTGTAAGAGAAAACTGAAGCAATAAACCACTTGAGATTCTTCTCAAGGCTGTGAGCTCCATCAAATTTTTTGATTTTCACCTTGGACGTGCCATAAACCGGGGTTTCCTTCAACTCTAGCCTGGTGTTGAAATGGACTTTTGAAAGAATAAATGCAAGCTGAGCATTCGAGACGTGACCTTTATCCATTCCACATTTCCACAGAGATTCTGCACTTTGGATGAGAGTTGTTGAATGTTTGTCAGACACTGACCTTTGACTGGCTGTAGCCAATGACATACATATTTGTGATCTCAACACAGACTGTAATAAACGAAATGGCATTTGAAACATGTATGAATATATATATATATATATATGTATATATATATATTTCTATTTTGTACTTAGAGACAGCTCTGTGTAGCTTTCTATGCTAGAGCAGCTTACTTAATGCAATTTTTTTTTCATGTAGAATTGGTAATTCTTTGTAATCTGTTCAAAGCCACCATCTTTCCCCCTATATCTCCTTAAAACTATAAACAAGTTCACTAAGTATCCTGTTTACCTTGCTCTATGTAGTTCTTGGGATGGTGAAAATATTTTCCTTCAGATTGGTCCATGTAGCAAAATAATGAATAAAGCTCACCTTTTCTGTCAGTTTTCTGCCTTTGTCTATCATAGTAAGTACAGTGGACATTCAGGTGACTCCCCAGGTTTCACAGTTCCTTTTCATTTATTTATTCCTTGTGTCTGCACAGAAAACAATTAAAAACATGAATGCAACGTTAGAAATCAGTCCATACCACAGGTATCACCTCAGGATAAAAGAGCCAAGCCCTTCCTCACCCTTAAGAATTGGTACTGTAGAGCTGGTAATGGAGCTGTCAGGGATATGAAGTTAGTGCAGCACAGAGCTGTTTGCTGATGAGCCACAAACTTCTGTGCTTTAACACTTGTTGACAGATGACTAACATCACCGTCCAGAGCGACACTAAGACATAGCTGTGTGTCTAGATTCCTCAGTTGAGAGGGACATAACTTCAAGGAAGATTCTGGTATTCTGCCTCAGCTGCCTGGGTCATCTTAGGGTTTCTTTTTCTTTTATCTTTTAGAAACAGGGTATCACTATATGGCTCAGGCTGGCCTTGAACTTGGATCCTTCTGCTTTAGCCTCCTGAGTGCTGGGAATGTAGATGTACTTCCATTCCAGCCCGAGTTTAAATATTTTATTATTTTTATTTTATGTGTATGAGTGCATTGCATACATGTATGTAAGTGCACCCATGTCACATAATGCCCATAGAGGTCAGAAGAGGCGTTGGATCCCCTGCAACTAGAGTTACAGATGGTTAGCTATCCTATGGGGGTGCTGGAATCAAATCGAATCTGGGTCCATTTCAAGAGCAGCCAGCAGTCTTAAGAGCTGAGCCATTTCTCCAGCCCCTTCCAGCCTGAGTTTAATTTGCCTTTCTCATCA